GGGGGGGGGGGGAAACGTCGTGAGTGGCAGCTCATCGTATCTCGCTGCAGGGGCGATCGGCGATGCGCGCGCGCGCGACATTCGCAAATTTCCGCCCCGCCCCGCCCCGCCCCTTTTTGTGCGCAGGCAGTGTCTGCGAAGGGGTAGTGGTGGAACGGGGAGTCGAGGCACAACGAGGTGCTCTAACCGCGACGCTACACCCAACACCTTGCGCCGTTCTGCTGCTCAAGTTTTCGGCACGCGCAATCGCAGGCCAGGGGTCGGGCATGATAAGCGCCAAATTTGGAAAGAGTGACTACGGACAGATGAGCGTGCGTCTTTGCTATGCCTGTCACCGCGTTCGAGCCGGGTTTTGCCAGGGCACCGAAAATGCCCCCCCCATCTTCTCACGTTTCTTGCTGCCAACGCTAGACGGAGGAATGTGAATGGCGACGGTGGTGAATGCAGGTTCAGCGCTGGACCTTTGTTGCATGTCGGTACTGCAAATCCGATTGGGCGCGGGGGCAGATCGCTCTGAGCAGACATGCAGGCACAAGCGATCAGTGCGCACGCGGCGCGATGGATGACAGCTGTATATGTGCGCTCGCGATGATGTGGGAGCGGACTGTGCAAAGGCACACTCCAGCCCAGCATGCGGCGCAAAAAAAGGGCGTAGCTGATGGGCGGCGTTGAAGAGGTGGTACCTTGCTGGGCTGAGGCGAAATGCAATCAATCAATCTGCGGTCACGCCAATCGAAGTGAAGTCGAGCTGACCTTGGCAACGACAAGTCGGATTTGGTGCTGTGAAGCGTCGCTTTCTCGCTGTCAAAGTCAGAGCTCATTCACACATGACATGTAGACTCGGTGGACAGGGCGTGTTCCTGGGTACGCTCTAGTCTGCGTTGACAAGAGGTACAACGTTCCGCGAGGTCCTGGCAATGGGCGGTGAGCGCTGCGATTGTGCCAATGCATTATCACTCGACAACGCTGAGGAACCTACGGAATCTCGTCTTGTTGGACCGTTGCAGGAGTCGGCGCTCTCTGAGGGCTCAAAGGAACCAAAGCAGCCCCTTGCCGTGCATGTGTTGGTCACGTCGTTGGGTTATAAATACCCTCGCTTTGGATCCAGTAAAGTCCATTCCATCCTCATCAGACTCCAGCATCCCCAGCCTTCCCAGTCCCCTTGCAGCAACTTGAGCAACAGCTATTTAGCTCTTCCTCAGCCGAGCAATCTCGTCAATAATTTTAAAAGCCATCATACCCATCACCATGCAGCTCACCTACCCACTCGTGGCTTCGTCCCTCGCCCTCTGCGCGGCTCTCGGCAGCGTTGCTGCTGCGCCTGCCGGTACCACCCCTAACACCAAGCAACCCAGCACTCCTGCCGATACAAAGGTAGCTTTGAAAGCCAAGGAGCACGGTGCTATGCTCATCACCAACGTCGTTGATGCCTACAAACGTGAGTGACGCGACGCGAATGCATGCTGACACATGGCCATAGACGCTGAAGAGCCAAGTCGAATGAATCACATGTTGCCACAAACACACACACGCACACAGCGGTGACGGTGTGGCTAGACGTCAAGAATGGGCACTACAACGCGGAATGGTCCGAAGCGTGCGACAACATCACCGGCAAGTACCGCACGCAAGACAACTTTAAGGATGAAGGCGGACCTTTTGGTAAATGGGCTTCCGTAGCCTGCATCGCGCGCACGCACGACAAGATTTCCAAGGAAGAGTGAGTAGTTTTGTTGAAGCACTGCCCGCGGTCCGGTCAAAATAGCTGAGAAAGCCTCGAGAACAATTTTTTTTTTCTTTTCCATCTCTTGTCATCTTCATTAGGCTCTTCTTCAACTATACCCCTATTCTCATCGAAAGGATGATCCTCTTGAAGGGACACGTCAAGCCTGTAAAGAAGCCACACGGCAGTCATTTTGACAAGCCGGCCAAGCCCGGCAAGCCCGGTAAGCCGCCCGCGAAGGAACCTGTCAAGACCAGTCCCAACGCAAACAAGCCAGTCAAGACTGGGCCCGCGACCAAGGAGCCAGTCAAGACCAACCCTGAGCCCGTCAAGAAGGTCGATCCCACTCCTCGCAAGTAATTGCCAGTCTCGCCGACGCACGCGACGCAAGCGGCTGACTGCTCTAGTGTCAGCGTTGCATTTCCTGGAGAAAGAAAAAGACATGACAGCACACACACACACACACACACACACACACACACGCACACGGTCTTTACGGCGCTTTCTGCTTTTCGGTGGCTTCCCCCTTGCTTTCTCCCGCTTGTGCTTGTGCTTGTGCTTGAGCTGATCATGCTCTGCAAGTCAAGCACGACTCGATCACGCTGCCAGTCCTTTTATCACCGCTGTCCTGAAATGAAC